GGTGAGCTACTATTACACACACCCGACCACTCACTTTGGCAACCTAGTAAGAGTCAACCCGTACTATTAGCGCTTCGGCTAAAAACAAAGGGAAAGCCAAACTATTTTTTAGCACCAAGGTACCCTCAAGCCAACCTCGAAACATGTCAGTAATATATGACAAACCTACGTTGCATCGTGCGTAGGTCGGAATCACTCAAATGCCTCGGCAACATTTTGACTTAGCTGAATTTACAACAGGGCGATTCGCTCTTAACAAGTCAAATATCAAGTTTTTTAGCACAAAAAAAAAAGAAGAAAAAGGAAAACAAGTCAAATATCAAGTTTTTCGAGCACACAGGTCTGACTTACATTTAGTTAGAAGAAAAGAAACAACTCTCCAATAGCTACTCCTTGTTGGCCTCCTCATCGTCGTCACCAGCTACATCCTCGACATTTTTCTTGCTGCCCTCTTTGTTCTCCTCCTCAGTTGGAGGCTCCTGGTGGACCTCGTTGGCTAGCTCATCTAGAACCGACCTAATGGACATGGCGACCTCTGTCCAACGGCAAAACCATTTGACAACAACCTCTTTAGCTCAACAGATGTTCTCAGCATACTAACTCTATTTCTCTTCGAGCTAACAATCTCGTGCCTCCACCTCGCTAGTGATGTTGGCGATGGTACCCATAGCCTCCTTGAGCTTGCAGGTCAGACCGACGCTAAGGTTGCAGAATCGCTGATGATCCTCCTTGGCACTGAGATGAGCCCCCTCTAGCTAAGAGCGAAGGGACTCCACGTCGATTCTTAGCTCAAGGGGTTCATGCAAAAAAGTGGAAACCCAGTCCATTAGAATCTGGCCCATGGTATTAACCTACAAGTGACAAAAACAAAGCAGTCGCAACTAACAGAAAGTACGTGTGAGCATTCAATATAAAGATACATACCGAGAGGATGTGTAGAACCATCTTCGCACTGATGTCGGCATAGTCAATCTCCCCAAAGATCTGAGTATCCTTGGGAAGAAGGATTCCTTTCCCTAGCTAGAGGGCGACGAAGGGGTCTCAAATCTAATCAGTAGTAGAAACACCACAGCAAGGGACAAAAGAGGGATCATACGAGCTGGAGGCATCGATGACATGTTCAATTGCGGCAACGTGGGGCACCAACAAGCGAGCTATTGAGTTCGGGATGCCATAGGATGGGTCAGCATGCATCGAGTATCTACCCTCCTCACGGTCGACCACCTTACGCTCATGCCTGGCTGACCCCTGCTCCATCCCCGATGAGTGAGCAGAAGAATTGGTGGCCCTTCTCTTCTTTGAAGGCCTCTTCCTAGCGGACAAGACAGACGAAGTGCTAGACATTTTTGCAGTAAGAACGGGAAAAGTTTGTCAAGGAAATAAAGCATACCAGAATGGAAGAACAACCAAGTACAACAAGGTTGACCTACCTACGGGGATCAAACCAGCCCGGATGAGCATCGGCTTGACCAGGAATTCTTCGGCCAGTAATTGCCAAGCTACAAGGAATCTAACCTCATTGGATAATGCCTCCTCGAACTCGATCTTAGGAACCTCTTTTCGGCTCGGCCTTCCAGGTGGTGTCCATTGGCCAACCATTCTCTTGGGACAAGAAGAAGTATAGTCTTCTAGTGCTTCATCTTAGTAGGAAAGCCACCTAAGAGCTTGTAGCTAGGTCAGTAACTCAAATAAAAAAATATGGCTCATTAGGCATTTTCTTTATCTGACAGAGTCCCAAAAAAAAAGTCTATGTCCAAATGGAAACCGAGGTGGTGGCAAAAGGAGATGGTCTTGACGATGGTTCTAATGGAGTTGGGGTGAAGCTAACCTAAGGAGATGTCATAATATCTAAGCACCTTGTAGATGAAAGGGTGGAAAGGGAAATGAAGACTAGCGATCAAGGCCTCCTCGAAGACACATATTTTGGTCTGCCTATTACTCCAGGGGTACTGGTCCTCATTGGGTTGGATGCGGTTGAAGGTATCGGGTATTTGGTATGTTGTGATTAGGTCGACAATTTCCTCACTAGTCAGTTTGGTAGGCCCGCCTCGACTTGAGTGGCCTAGTGGTACTCCCTCTCTAACTCACTCAAAGACATAACTTAAAAACAAGGGAAAGGACTCACTGACACGACAAGGAAAAGTAAACCGACCTCGTCAAGCAAGACCGACCTAACCGAACAAGAACTAACCTTGCTGAACCGACCTCGCTTGTTGTCGCTGAAATCTCTGGTCTCTCACTCTACTGCTTTGTAAAAGACTTCAAAAATAGTGCAAATAGGACCCTTCAGGGGCCCCCTCTATATAGGCAAGGGAACCGAGCAACCAATGACTGAGATGCGCTCAATCCAACGGTTTGAAGAGACATCCCGCTTCAAGTTCCAAGGACAAATTTGAAATTTGAAGTCACGCATCTGACTCAAAAATTCAAACTTGTGCGCTTAGTTCAAAGTTTAAATTCGCCGCGCAACGTCTGCATGCCCAATGCGCTTTATCGACCGGTCTAGGAGAGCAGATTGGATTGACGGCGGTGAACCTACTGAACCTGATCACTTTGGGCCAGAGACCTGCAATGTGATACTCCCTCAGCCAAACCAACTTCAACTTGGGAGTGTGGGTAATTTATGAGGCGGAATTTAGCCCTCTATTGACATTATGCCATGTGGCACTTCCAAACTGTTGCTTAACACCTCGGCGCCATGTAGGCAATGATTTGCCTTTGCCTAGACTATAGACTCCACCTTGGAACCACCTCGAATGCACCTCAAACACATCATGCGCATCGTGAGAGTGTACCGATGCCACCTCGGCAGGGAAGATTTGTAAGCACCTCGGTGTAAGGACGACCTCCAGCCGATGTCCCATCGACCTGGCCGAGATCTAGTTGGTGACCTGCCTAACATGGTGATCGACCTCTTCTGCATGCACCTTATTGTCCTAGAGTCCTTCGATCATATCACCCCACCAACAGAGTTGATTCTTGTGCTGCCTGCTTCGGAGGCAATTGGATAAGCTCTATCCTTTTGCGTGAAAACCATCTTTGAGCATGAAACCACCTCTGAGCATGGTGGGTAGATAAGCCACATCCTCCCGGAGATCTCGGACACGTTACATGAAGCTCACGACTACTTGCGCCTATATAAAGGCGCTCCCTTCGATCAGAGAAGGTATGTGCGATTTAGCACTCATAGCTCTCTTGCTTTGTCGCTTTCTAATTCTCACAGTACACTCATCGCTAACTTAAGCATCGAGTGCCCACCCCTAGTACTTTGATAGTTTTCTTGCAGCTTGGCCAGCCGACCTGGTCAGTCCGCCATCCGACTTGTCCTCCAACAGGGAGCACCAGATCACACACCATCATCTTCCATGAAAAATAACATACAAGTACAAGAGATGTTTCCGATGTGCGACTAGAACATGCTGTAAGGAGTGCTCAGTAAGGAGCAAATCCTATGTTTTCATTCAGAGTCTAGATCTACTCCTCATAGAGTACTCCTCACACCCTCACAACGTATCCCAACCACACATCGGGAACATCTCCCATACTTTGTGTTGTTATTAATGGGGAGATGTTTTCAATACATGGTGGGATGGGTTGTGAGGTGATGAGGAGTAAATCCCGATTCTTTCATTCATGGGAAGGTGTTTCCAATGAATATAGATATGCTCCTCACACTAACCCCATAATGCACTTGGGAGGTGTTGTGGGGTTAGTGTGAGGAGCATATCTATATTCATTGGAAACACCTTCCCATGAATGAAAGAATCGGGATTTACTCCTCATCACCTCACAGCCCATCCCACCATGTATTGAAAACATCTCCCCATTAATAACAACACAAAGTATGGGAGATGTTCCCGATGGGAGGGTTAATCTAGTAAATTTTGGCATATTTTGGTTTAGATCAATTAAAATACTTCTGTATTTGAATTCGAATTCAAATATGCCATAAACTTGTGTATTCAAATATGCCATAAACTTGTGTATTTGAATACAGAAGTATTTTAATTGATCTAAACCAAAATATGCCAAAATTTACTAGATTAACCCTCCATATCGCACATCGTGCCTATTTCAAATCTAAACTGACCCGAGAGGCAATATTTTTTTATTTTCTTAATTTTTAGGGGTAAAATATAAAAACCTCCTCTAAAGTTTATGACAATCACAAAAACCTCCCGTGAGGTTTCTTTTTCATAAAAATCTCTTGTGTAGTTTATGAAAAACCTACGGTTACCTCCCTTCCATCTTTGTTCTAGTAATGAAGAATTCAAAGTCACGAAATTACCCTTACAACTTATTATGTCATCTTTCAATATAATTCAAAATGCCAAAATTTCCCTTCTAAACTTCATTAGACTTAATGTTTTCATAGAGTAAAATTACTTTATTCTTTTCAATCTAACTCAGAGGTTTTTCTAATTAAAAGTGAAAGACTATTTTAGAAGTATTTTAGTAAATTTTCATCTAAATTGATAAATATAAAGGTAAAATGGGTACTTTCAAAAATTCAATACATTACACCAAATAAGAAAAGGGAGGTAACTGTAGGCTTTTTCAATACGAGTGGGAGATTTTCGTGAAAGTGAAACCTTAGGAGAGGCCTTTATATTTTACCCTAATTTTTATTCCTTGCAGAGAGAGAGAGAGTAAGGAGAAAATAGGTTGCCCATAAACTTGGAAGACTCCCAGGACCCAACACTTGTCCTTCGGTCAAAGACTTTTGAAACTACCCAGTAAAATCGGTTTTTCAACTTTAATTTTCAAATGTATTTTTTTCTCACTTTTACTAAGTCGTTACACCCAGCAAATCCGCATCAATCATACCTGTAGGCTGTATCCGTTTCCATATTCAACAATCCTATGCAGATTTTCTCTCTCTCTCTCTCTCTGTTTCTCAAACAATTCCCTCCTCTCTACTTGTTTGTTTCATCTTCTCATTCTTTCTTTGGTTGTCAACTCTCTACTCCTGCAATCCAGCATTGGTTCTCTAGCAGAAGATGACCGTAAAGGGTGGCACAAGCCAAGCCTGTGCTGCTTGCAAATACCAACGTAGAAAGTGCTCCTCCGATTGTCCCCTCGCCCCTTACTTCCCTCCTGATCAGCCCAAAATGTTCCAAAATGCTCATAGATTATTTGGTGTAAGCAACATTCTCAAGATACTCAAGCAATTGAATACCAGCCAGAAAATGGAAGCAATGCGATCCATCATCTATCAAGCCAACATTCGCGACAGGTTCCCCGTTCATGGATGTTGTGGGATCATTTGCCACCTCCAGTACCAGATACAACAAACAGAACAAGAACTCAATGCTGTTAATGCACAGCTTGCCATCTATCGACAACATCACATTGCCTCTTCCCCTCAGCATCATTCTCCTTCTTCCCAATTACAACTGGGCATGCCTTCACCCAACAATGCGCTTCCACTGTTCCAACACCATTCCCACCAGCCCTACAATGCTGTGGCAACTGGGGTCTCTCTTGCGCCGCATCACTCTTTCTCTAATGCCAACAATGCTGTTTATAATACGGCAATGTACATGGATTCCAAAGACAATTTAGTGAGTCCTTTATGGGTTCAGCATCCTTACAACAACAACAATAATAATTCGTCGGTAGCAATACAGTCTCAATTGCTTGCTTCACACCAGATTCCTATCCACCAAGAAGCAACTGAAGCCCCACAGGACTATGATGAGATCCCTCCATTCTTTGACACAATTGATGACAGACAATCTTATATAGATTCCAAAGAGGCTTACGATTCAAGGTAACAAGTTATTTCTTCCATACTTGGTTTAGAACATTTTGTTCTTCTTTCTTGTTGCATTAATTAATATCTTGTTACTTTACCAGTTTCTAATTTATATTACAATTCATCAGCAGCTCGGATTCTTCATTGAAGGATACTACACAGTCAATTGAGCATGTTTCAGAGAATGAACTCAAGAGCGCTGCTGCTTGCTTCAGTCTCACCAGCGTCAACTGATCAAAGAGCAAAAGAGGAGTTTCTGGGTTGGTCCAGTTTCAACACTTCTCTCTCTCTCTTTTTTTTTTCTTTTTAGATGAATATGTTAGATCTAATTTCACTGCATTACCAATCTCAGTCATTTATTTGTCTAGGAATAATAGAAATTTATTATTTTCAGCTCTTGTTGGTGGCCTTAAATACAATTTAGTACATCACATCCAGAAGTTGAAAAATGCAAAAATCTTAACGAAGAAACAAGCCAAGCGAAATTTCTCTTCACTGATTTAATGACTATGGTGACCATGGTTATGGTATGTTCATTATCTGTTAGACGTGTAGCAAATCTTTAGTTTCTCCGGACTCCAGTGAAAACAACTGCCAATCTGTCCGTGTCCAAAGACCCGAGTCGGTTCCTTTGTGATTATCCAGTGTCTGTGCATATACATATACTGACATGCATAGAGAAAGCTTTCACGAGGCTTGACTTTAATGGGTTGAAATTGTGGGACCTACCTACTATTATTTCTTTCCTTTGGGCGACGCAACCTCACATGAAGCAATACAATTCCATAACAGAAGAGTGCTGTTTTCACAAAACACAAGGTTCATTGAAGTAATCAATAATCGGTAATCAGCACTGGCTACTGCTACGACGTGGGGTGGGGCAATCTCCCCCTAAGAGAAAAAAGGTCAGGTGCCCTTTCTGATATTTGAGTATTTACAGACTATCTGGAAATGGGAGAAATTTGGAAGAAAATGAATCATCAAAGGCGTGGGGTGATCATGCAAATATATGAGCTTTTGTATTTATTTATTGACTACTCTCTCCTGCAACATAACAATGTTGGTTCGGCAAAGAGCACGTAAGTAGTACAACAGGGCTTTCGGAACATTATAAACTATTGGATGATACCCACGGAATCAACACATAAAACAGTTTTTCCTCCAAAGGTTACTTGGAAGGAATTATAAGATATTTGGGCATGTTCAAACGAGCTGTTTGAAATATGCAGCCTCTAGTGCCTTGGCCTTCTCTGACACAACAGCAACATCCTCCCTGCCAGCCATTGAATAACCTCTCTCCTGGACCAATCATGGAAATACAACTCACATGAAACTGTAAATGCATATTGGAATACATGTATTCATATACATTCAGGTGCATGACCATTGACTGGTGAATTAACTTCTTGTAAATCAACATTACCATTGAGTTTCTAAAAATTCAGCTAGTGTTAACAAAGATTTGCTTCAGTTAAAATCTAATAACTGGTGAATCTAAGAACAGTGCAAGTTGGAATTTACCAGCAAGCGCCATAGGAATGGAATCCCTTCCCTCTTCTGAATCCGTTTCTCAATTTCCTTTATTGCTGTAGTTCAAAGTTCAAACATCATGTCAAGGAGAAAAGAACCACCACAAAGTTCAAGAATAGAAAGATAATGGTAGTCATACCCTCTGAGGCCCGTCCAGTATTTAACAAAATACTACACCAAACTTCATTAAAGACATCTAGTTGTTCATCTGATGCCCCAACCGTCTGGCAAAGTAAAAAGGGATTAAAAAAACTGAAAATAATTACATACAGCCAAGGTTCAAAATATCGATACGCCCGATACGCCAGTAGAGGCGTATCAGGCAGTATTGATAGCTTTTTTTATTTTTTTTAGTTTTTTTTCCAAATCTGGTTCAGAGGAGCCGGTTTAAGGTTCGTCCACCCCCTGAACCAGTCGAAACCCTGATACACCCTCTGTAGGGGCATATCGGGAAGCTCCCGATATGATACGTATCGGCCGTATACTTTGAACCTTGCATACAGCTGAGATACAAGGAAAAAGAAATGAACTATATAAGAGATTCATACTTTGCAATAACTAGCATCAAAATCTGGGGCAAGCATATGAAAAGCCTCTTCATACTTGCCCCTCCCATATTCATACAGGGCCTCCGCAAGCTGCAATATTAACATCAATATGTTATATGTTAGCTCATGAGAACCAACAAAACAATTCTAACAGAAGAACTCCATCGATACAACTATAACCGTGTGCTCTACAAACCAATAAAGTAAAATATACCTATCAAGTATTGCTCTTACACAACCCTCTCTCCCCCAACCAAAAAGAAAGGAAAGAAAAGACAATGTGCAGGTCATACAAGATAAATTAAAGAACAACAATGGTTTGGGTAACAACAGAACATACAGTGATTAGTTGAATGGTTAGAATTTAATTAGTATCATTCTAACATCAAAAACATAATTTGACCAAGCATTTATCAACCAATATCTGCAGGCACACACATTGAAACTCAATGTCCAGTGAAGAAATGTGATGTGCTACTAAAAGTTTGTCTTAGCCTAAAGAGAGACCAAGATTGAAGTTCAAACTTCAAAATGCCCATGAAATAGGTTGACAAGGAACAAAAAAATAATGTTTCAAACCTTAATTCCTCTCTGCATTGACAGTTGCTTCTTCTTGCTCATCAAATAAAACCTTCAAAGGGGAAAAAAAGACGAAGGAACAATGACAGTTAGCTAGTATCTCAATCTTCAATCTTTATTAGGCTTGAGCATAGTTCAATTGGTTGATTTGCAGCATGCATCTCAACTGGTTAGGTAACAATTTTGAACATCTGGACCATGGTGCTAGGGCTCACCTTAAAATTTATTCAGGGGAAAAAAAAGGTAAAAGGATACATTGAATACAGCTTAAGGAAAGTAAAGTGTTGATTTCCTACTACCTGGCCTTCATGGCATTGAGTAGATCCTCTGCTTTATCCGTTTCTTTAGTATTAGATAAGGCCCATAATATCAACAAATCAAGATGCCACTCCATATGCCAGGTCGACTGAAAGTTGCAACACACATCCACAAAGGTTATAACAATCAGTAGATCAATATAATACTAAACCATAACTTCACATACAAATGCGTGTTGTACCCAATGACCAAACCTAAGCAAACTCTTTAAAGCAACTAACAACTAGTAGCTTAATCTAAAAGACCAGAAATGTCTAAAACTAGTATATCATGATTTTACTATAAATTATAAATAGTAATTTTAATTTTTACTATGAATGGTAAATTTCTAAAAGACTGAAACTTAACCCTACAGCCACCTCCATGAGTTTTCTTCCACTGAAGCTCCAGAATTAGGATATTAGGTTGTTGATTTGTTAATTCTTTGCTACTAATATTAGTGCATGGGAAGGCATAGGCCCTAGGAATCCAGGCATCCAGTCAAAGGTTAATGCCTAAGCTCACGTAGTTACCTTGATAACCATGTATTGTTGGCATAACATTTGTACAGTAGAAAGTCACACTTGTAGCTCAGTTGGTCCATAAGATAATCTGAGTAAACCTTAAGAATATCCTTAAAAAGCACACAAAAACTAATACCACCAACCTTAACCTGGTTGCCTCCAAACCATGTATTCTTGACATGAAAATCTTTTACAATAGATTAATTTAACTATAACTTACCCGATCAACAAGACGATCTACCAAGATCTTTAAGCGGTCCTCAAAAAAAGCTATCTGGCCACGAACATGTACTCGCAACAACAAGCCTAGAGCATTCAGATACACCTGCATGCACAAGATATTTATTACTTGTCAGTACAACAAACAGGGCAGTGCCAAAGAGAATAGTCTGTAAATTACCTCTCCAGGCACAGCATCACCTTTTTCCAACTCTTTCCATATATATTTGTCATAAACTTCTAATACTTTGTTGATTGGGGAATGACCTTCCAAGTAACAAACAGCAACGTGCCACCAATTGTGTGTGTACCTGAAAATAAGTTTCAGGTGTCTCAAACTATGATGCTAAATGAAACTAATAATGGAATTTTTTACAATCTCTTATTTGAGAAATAAAAACTTACATGAAGGATGAACATGAACCCCATGAAGGAGAACATTCTTCCATGAATTCCACTGCTTCCTTGAAACGACCATCATATTGATAAACATGGCATAACTGCACAGAAATCCACAAAATTTGCAGAAGCCATAAAGACAAAGAACTGAAGTGGTCCTTAATACAGTACAGAGAGAATCCTCTTATCCCAATCAATAAATTTACAACAGAAGTCCAACAGTGTATCCATAACTGAAGTGATTAATAATAAGGACAAAATGAGCTTTTTCAGTCATATCATGTTGGGATCATCAAGGACTTTGTTATCAAATGGAGTAAAAAACTAAAAAAAGAAAAGTTTGCATCAGGTACCTTGATGTCGACAGATTGTTAATTAAGTGCAAATTGATACACTTAACTCCATACAATCTGGTTTAGATGTGAACCCTATTAGCTCATTGCTGAAAAATAGAGTGCAACCCAAATAACAGACCTGATTATTGATCAAGGCCATACATTAGGACTTGATTAAAAATCTGGTCCCATCAAGTCTAACATCCTGGTGCCTGTCAGATATCAGGTCTTGTCATTTACACAAATCAGTAATATAAGACAATGATTACTTATGAGGTCCATTGCAATTCATGTGTGATCACTTTTTTTGAGAAAAGGTTAACCAGATTTCATTAAAGCAGCATGAAAGTACATGATCAGATGTACTGCACAGAAGAAAGAAAACCCAAATAGCTAAAGAGAAAAATTACAAGGGGGGAAGCCTATTGCTGTACAGATTTTCTAGTCTTGCTCCTATTTTAGCTAAACTATCTGCAATATGATTCAACTCCCTCGGTATCCACAGCAAGTTTGCATTTATATTTTCCAAAGTGTCTCTAGCCTCAGCCAGATAATGACTCAACCTCCAAGGGTCCCCCACCTTGTCCTTCAGCCATTTGATAATATTAGCAGAGTCTCCTACAATGGATAAGTTCTGTATGCCCAATCTTTTTATTATGCTGATTCCAGTGAGAGCAGCCATAAACTTCAGCCTTTGTTGAATCGGCATAACCAATTGGGCCACTAAAATCCCAACAGATATTACCCAGATCATCCCTCAAAATACCCCCTATCCCAGCTACACCAGGATTGCCTGCAGCACTTCCGTCAAAGTTTAAAAGTCATCCCTCCTTCATTATGAGGTATCTGTAGTCTTTGGATTGGTTGAGGGTAGAATGGAAGCAACAAGATCGTTTGAGTGCCTGTTTCTTTCCTCTCAAATTCCCCACAGCACTGCATGTAACACCGTTTGCCAGTACACTTTACCTCTTCTGCTCAGGCCTGAACCATGCCACTGATGGAGAAACTCCTGAATATGCTTTGGAAAGACCCAACTGTATCCAGTCAGGTTTAAGAAATGGCACCAGATCTTTTGAGAGAAATTGCAATGAATAAGTAGATGATCAGCTGATTCACCTATGTGTGATCAATGTCATGTAATAAATCCTGATTAAGCAACTACCAACTTTAATAAAGTATTTGTAACTTATTTTAAGGATCTTTAACTAACAAACAGCCAATGATTCCATTATTGCTCAAGAATTTGGTATCATGATATCTAGAATTCTACATATTTAGATTATTGATTAGAAATTACATAATCTGTTAACTACAAAGTTTGAATTATACAAAGGAAAGAAAGTATTTTTAGAACCATAAGAGGATTGTTATCTAGTTCTAGATCAACCAATGGGCATTCATTGGAGGAGGACCCATAACCAAGGGTGATAACAGAGAATAGGATCCAAGTAATTTGTGCACCCGGACTCAATCATGTTAAAGATTGCCATGTTTCTTAATATTTCCATCTCAATGGGTACCAACATGAAATTGTAACTGTAATATTTCTCAAAACATTCCCAAATGTTCTGATATTTCTTTTCTATTGTTTATAACAAGTTTTTCACCCCTACTATAAAGTATTGCTTACATAATGGGTTAGTGATAATCAGTAGGTTATACCAAAAAATCACCTTCCCACCAAAACTTTTTTTTTTTTTTGATAGATACCTTCCCACCAAAACTTCGTGACATGAAGTTCATTGTACAGTCAATTGTACATAATAAAAGAACAGGTAAATGCAGGATCTAGTCCCAGCAACATAGAGAAAAAGAGAAACGTGACTATAAACAGACAATCAAATGGACGTATCAATGGAGATCATTACAACTTTGACTTACAGCATGCTGTGACCAGGAATCATTCTTGTTGATTCCAAATCCCTTTTGAGCTGCTTTCTCAGCATCAGCCATTCTACCAAGCTCCAGCAAAGGAAAAGAAAGCATGCCATATATGTAGTTTTCTTGTTGGTTTTGTGCTAAAACCTGTTGAATATATCATTTAAAAACTTCAAGAACAAATAAGAAACCATTGTGAAAGGCCCTATAAAAGAAATGTACTAAGGTAGTGTTTCCTTGAAAGAGCATCCAGAATTGCCTATTAATATCATTTTTAAGAAATAGAAGATTATACTAGCAAAGAAAAGCATAACCAAATGATAGAGTTTGACCTCAGTGTTAAAAAATGCCATAATATTCTTTTTTTCCAAAAGGAAGTGATGCAGTGGGAAATTTACCCCAAGGCTGTGTTTGTTTTGATAGAAAACAAGAGATTTTTCCTTAAGAACTTCCCCTCAACTCTCTGTGTCTCTCTTGTTTTCTATCAAAACAAGCACAGACTAAGGTGTGAAACTGGAAGATGATGTACATCGGCAATTTTTGGTTGGGCTTTCTAAAAGATCTTTCAAAACCTAAAAACTAATAAGTTTTTTTAGGTTTTCAATGATGGAGATAAAGCTTGGAAAGCCTTTTTTTTTCCGGTAAAGTTGCTCCTCATACTCTCACAACAATGGAAAATGACCAATGCGTGTCCCCTAGTTGCTTTATAAATAACATGTGTGGCCAATGCATACAAGTTAGAAAGACATCTGGGTTTTAGAATGAAAGCTCAAAGCTGAAAATTGGAATGTTTCAATTGAAGCTTCTTGCTTTTGGTATTTTTTTTGGGTTTCAAGCCCTACTGAACTGTGGCTTTCAAAGAACACCTTACCATTTACCAAACCAGAAAAGATATTTATTGGGCTTCATGGCTTTCAAACCATAGCCTAACCAAACAGGGCTCTGCCTGGATTTCTTATAGGGGAACAGTACCTGCTTTGCAGTGCTAATCCAAGCACTCCAACAATTTTTAGTGAAACAAAAAAGCCAAGAAGAAAAACTTCTAAAATTACTTACAATGGTTTGGTAACATAAAATTACAATAAATACACAGCCATAAAGCCAAATTTAGCACATAGGTAGTCTCAACAATATCAGGAATCCAACCTGTTCAACAAGATCCAAAGACAAATCAGGTCGACCCATGTAGAAGCAAAACACCTGAGCCCTCTTCAGAGATACAAGGTCTTTTGGGAATCCTTTCAGTAGCTGTAGAAGATAAAAAACCAGATGCAAAATCATGAGCATTATGAAACATCAATGACATAACCATAATCACTTGCAAACTGCAAATGAACATAACAATTTGAATGAAATCCTCTATTCTTCTGAAGGTTATCAATAGAAGGAGACTCCCAAGTAGTAGTAAGCTGGCTAAAGAATGGCAAGAAGGCAGCTTGGACCTGTAAAGAAAATTAAATGGCACCTTACAGGCGTGGCAGTATCCTTTCAGTGGGTTCCAAGGGCAGCTAATGGGATGGAAGACTCTCTAGCAAGGCAAGGGGTTGTAAGGGAACAGGTTTTTTGGGCTCAGCTGTTTTAAGGAAAAAATGTTAACCTGATACTGCGGGTGAGGGTTGGGCAGGGAATGATTGCAATAGGACTTAATTGTTACACATGCTCTAAGGGGTACTCAGTCCCCGGTTGTATCACTTTCTGTATATTATTGTCTATTTAATGAAAATTTTCTGTTACCTATCAAAAAAAAAAAAAAATCCTCTAATCTTCCTACTTTACATTACATAAGAAGCAGCATGCGTATCTATTTAAAATATAATCTTCTGTTTTCTAATCCAAGAACTTGGTAAAAAAATAAATGACTGACTAGAAGGGCATGCAGAACAGGGCGTGAAACTTTTAGAATGTTTATAACCAACTGCCTCAACGAGAGAAATCTCAAGGCAACCTTAAATAGCATATAAGACCTCCGACTTGTGATCCACCTGGGGTTCTAGGATAGACTTAAATTGGCTACCTGGTATCAAGACAACAGAACACTTCTAGTGGATTTTACCCATAAAATGAATGTGTCACAGAAAAGTCAAAGGACAAGTCTCTTGACGTGGTGGTTAGATATTTCTTTTTTGGTCAAATAGTAGCAGGGATCCTGTAAGAACATTCAAATTACTAATTATATGCTAAAGATAAAGAACGCAAGAAAATCTGAAATATATGGATAACGCTTGCAGCATATCTTCAACAAGCGATTAAGCTATAAAAACAATAACATAGCCGATTGATGAAGGGAAATTTGGCCCGACCTCGCAATCGCCCGACACGTGGCAAAGGCAAGCAACTCGGGACAGTAGAGTGCCCGAAGCGAACATCGGAAGCAAGTCCAAGCTCACTACCGAGCCCGAACTCC